ATTGAGGGTTCTCTGCAGACTGATGAAATCTGTATGCATATGTCCAGGTGGGAAAAAAAACATTCACAATTTGCTGATTCATCTGATTTTCAAACTAATTCACCCACCACTAGCTGTAAATGAAACAATACAGTTTTCAGTACAGTGGGGTTGATTTACTAAACCTGGAGAGTGCAAAATCTGGTGCAGCTCTGCATAGAAATCAATCCGTTTCTAACTTCAGCTTGTGCAATTAAGCTTTGACAAAAAACCTGGAAGCTGATTGGTTTCTATGCAGAGCTACACCAGATTTTACACTCTCCAGGTTTAGTGAATCAACCCCAATGCATGTCATATGAAGTGTATCATAATCATTAATACTAGTTAAAAATAGAAATGTGAAAATACTAAAGAATATCTAACATTTTATAAGTGGTAAATAAAAAAATGGAAGCAGAAAGGCCAATAAAATAACGCATATAAATAGAAACCCTTACAGAAACCATTCTCAACCATGGTTCCTCCAGAGGTGGCTAAGGACTTGAGCTGTGGCTAACTGACCTCCCATGTGATGGTGCCTGCATAGTTTCAGGGCCACTTGGTAGAGCAAGGCATAACTGCAAGTGTGGCATTCTGACCACAATCATAAAAGGGGCATTCTTTCTACTGACCACAACCAATAAAAGAGGCTTTTTACCAATCACCCCTGATGGACTTATTTTATCAAGGGTTCCATGAAACCTGAGCATTTCTTCAAGGGTTCCCCTGGAGTAAAAAAGGTCGAGAAAGGCTGCCTTATTGTATGGAAACAATTAAGAGATTTACGCTGAAAACATGATTAAATGATAGTATCTGTATAACAACGGTTGGTCTATTTTGCAGGTGACCAACTACCTCTATAAAAATAAAAAATGCATGCAAACAAAAGAAGTTGATATCCCAAACATTGGTAAAAAAAAAAATAAATTTCTCTTCTGTAATTAAATGTTTGCTAACTTATTTTATGAAAATATTTGACTGTTAATCTAAAATCAATTTATATTATGAACAAGCATTTGAAAGATCTAAAAAAAATGTTAATATGGAAAAAAAAACAAGCCGTAGACCAATAATCAAATTACTGATCCTATGTTTTTATATGCTGATTTTTGCAAGCTACCTGTGTGCTGGAAATGGCAATATATTACTATTTCTCCTTGTCAACCTCTTTTTCATAACTTGTTTGCTACAAGCCGGCTGGCAGCATCTCTACATGGAGGGGTCCCCCCCCTTCCTGCTGGCATGTCACTCAGACAATGTGCGAGCTCTAGTAATTCCATCTGCAGAGCTCGGATTGTCAGTACCATTGTTCTGCTCAGTATGAAGTGGATGGTGCAAACAACCAGGATGGATGATTTTAAGTAATTGCTCTGACATAGACTGATTACTGAAGTAACAACAGTCATTTATCGCCGAGGAGTAGCCACAGCATATGACATATATTAAAGCACTGGTGCATAGTACCCTTATGACTAAGTGAGGGCACTGCGGCGGGGAGTCTCCTAATAGATTCTCTCTCTACAGTCCTCCTGTATAAATATTCCATTTCTTCGAGAAGGCTGGAATGTGATAATCGTTCAAGAGACATATTAGCGCATTTATCTTTTCAACAAGCAAAACCGAACATGACGATGCAGTGAGCACGCTCCATTAGGGTTTATGGCACAACAGTATCACTATACATACACAAAACACTTTATTTTATCCAATGCAGATGTTGCAATTAAATGAATAAGGAAACTATATGTAAAACAGAGTAACCATAAATTCCTTTACTCAGACTCTACAACTAAAGACAAGTTTAAAAGATTGCTTCAAGATCCTTTGGGGTTTTGAGTTAAATCTGAACTGCAGTCTTGCTTTCATTCTTGTACAGTTTGTAAGCTATTATCATATACTGAAATTGTTTACTCTTTTGCTGCACACTGTTAGCCTCTTACAGTGTGCATTAGAAGCTGTAGAACATCAGATAGAATCGGCCTCATGTCCTGGCTGGAGGATATCCAGCATCATCTTGTTTTTTTCCTCTCTTGGCTGACTGTCCCTGTCTGCCTATTCACCCCACCCCATTAAATTTCAATCATGGAAGAGGCAGCACAGTGGTTAGCACTTCCGCCTGGCAGCACTAGGGTCGTTGATTTGAATCCCAGCCATGGCACCACCTGCCTGGAGTTTGCATGTTCTCCCTGTGGCTGCATAGGTTTCCTCTGGGTACTCCAGTTTCCTCCCACACTCCAAAGACATGCTGGTAGGTCATTGGCTCCTGTCTAAATTGGCCCTAGTATGGTATGTGTATGTATGAATGTGAGTTAGGGACCTTAGATTGTACGCTCCTTGAGGGTTAGGGACTGATGTGAATGTACAATATATATGTAAAGCGCTGCGTAAATTAGCGCTATATAAGTACCTGGAATAAATAAATAAAAATGGAAGCTCAGCATCACGTTTAGGCTGTACCTAGGATGATCTACATGTAAATATAGCCTACCTTGCCAAGGAATGCCTGCTGCTCCCGAATGGCATGCACCCATCATAGCATTTAAATAGAGCTGAGGGGAAGCTTTCCAGAAGCTATGTAGAGCCATGATCTGCCTACATTGCATAGAGAAGCCCAAAGACCATTGATGACACTGAGTCCAAAACAAAATATGTAATGAAAATAGAAAGGTTTTATTTTTATTTTAAAATGTCATTAGCATTTTAATGATTAAGCAGAATTAACTTTATGTTTAAAGCCCAAAGATGATAGTTGGTCATATTTATTTGTTTGAGAAATAAAAAAAAGCTAGAGAGATCAACCAGGTAAGTGACCAGAGCAATTTCAGAGTAGATAAGTAGGGGGATCTTTCATTTTACAGGGTAGATAGAACAGGCTTAGAATGGGGTGGGAGCAGATTTAAGCTTAGTTAGGTTTTGACTTGCTTTCAACTTTAAGTTCTGCTTTAATGTGTATTCAGCTATATTCTTTTCTTTAGTTTTGGATAGAGTGGGAAGAATTAGAATTCCTGTGAGAATTCTGCTATCCAGTTACTGCTATCCAGGTTTCCTGAAGAATGATTTCCCCTCACTTCTGAACACAGACAGGAAGTGAGGGAAAATCTGCAAAAGGGATTCAGAAAGCAATGAAGATCATGATACTCTTGTAATAGCAAGGGATGCTGGACTGCTATTAGCTTTCTTGGTTATTACAAATAAAATCTTATTCTGGACTTTTATAAGTGGAATGGTTCCTCTAACAGGAGATCTTGACTTTCCCTAAAACTTTGACTTTTCTCTAATATTACTTTACTTTTACTGTGTGTGTTGCTGTTAGAGATTTTCCTTCACGTCCCGTTTTGTAGAAGCGTTGTCACAAGGACAGTAAGTAAAATCTCTCTGTTGAAGTCTGACAGGGTTTTATTCTTTCCCTACTCAATTTAAAACTAGGGAAAATTGTTTTGGCTAGATTCACACTTTTACTGACTTGTAGGAAAGTGAATGAAAACATGATTACTTTTTGCCACACCACAGTTCTGAACAATTACCCTTGCACCAGTTTTCAATTAACAGTTATTGGTAAAATACATTTCTAGGAAACATAAGTCAACAATTAATGTGAAACCCCTATTTGGACATCTAAATACACAGTTGAAATACTTTAATAGCGTATCTGTCAAAAGATTTGAAATCCTACTCTCCTATCTCTTGCATATTGCATATTGTACAGACAGACATGCTTATTTTCTGGCTTAGCTTTATGGCATCCTATGCCATCACTGCAGGCTGATTATTGGACAGTGAAACACCAATAGTATACACCCAAAAAATCCCACGCTAGCCAATAAAATAAATAATGTGTCAAAAAGTCCTAAAGTAAATATGTGTTGCTGCTAACAACTGTCATGTGTTTCCACATCAATAAATATACAGTATAATGCAATAAAGTGCTGTGCAGCCAGATCTATAAATAAGCAATTACAACAAACATTTTATATATATATATATATATATATATATATATATATGTGTGTGTGTGCAAAAAAAAATATAAATAATAAAGTAATATACTATATACTGTATTGACAGTAAGAAAAATAGCGAAAGCCACAAAAATGTGACAGCGTAACCCGCTAAAGAAAATGTGAGTGAAGTCCAAGTCCAAATAGTCCTTTAAAAAACTATTCCGCTCTTGATGTAAATTAGCTCCATAAACATGCTTCAAATATATTGTCCACATATACTGTATGTGTAACATGTGTGCTCATATCCACGTGCTGCACCACCATATGCCTCCATCTTTCAATGCCGCTGCTTACCTCCAGTATTGACCCCCACTTAAGGTAAGGTCAAATGAGCTTTCCCAATAATATGTGTTATAACTCTTCCACTCTTTACCAAAAAAGCAACACCAGCTGTTCTGTCATCCACTCAATATCTCAGAGAGCATCCAATTCTTTTGTAGTGTCATGATGTTCTCCAGCCATGATGTGGTGGCTCTTTCAGTGTCAAAATTACATTTTATGTTTAACTGTGAATGAATCTCAAGTGTTGACTCCCTTATTCAAAAGAGGTTTAAAATTTTATCAGTTTATTTGAATTTTTAAAATGATTTTAAGATTCCATGATCATTGGAATCATTGCTGATCATTGGACAGTGAATCATCATGAGTAATGCTGTCCAATGAACACGAAGCTGATCCAAGAAACAATAATGGTAATCTGGAAGGTAGCGTTCACCTGTGCCAGCAGAGGCATTTGCCTCACAAGAAGGGCTGGCTGAAATGATAAATTATTTAGCAATAAAATGTGTTTATCTTTTTCCCTGAAGCTACACTTTAATAACAATGGGATAAGCTATTGATTTGTAACATCTTTAGTTTTTTTTAATGCATTGTTTACCATGAAGAGAAACTTTCTACAAAGGAGTTGGGCCTGTAACAGCAACAAAACTTTCATACTTAACCATTAGCCCTTCCACATTTTATACAATTAGATATTATGACCAAAACCCTAACCTGTGGAACAGGGGGAGACTGACAACTCATGGGGCCCCCGGGCAATAGGGGATCATGGGGCCCCTGTGTCCTTGCCCAAACTCAAAAAAGCCTATGAAAAAGGTACCAGGGGCATCTCATGGGGCCCTTTACTGACCCCTGGCCCTCGGGCAGTGCCCGAGTTTCCAAATGGTCAGTCTGCCCCTGCTGTGGAATCTAAGTAGAAACATGTCTGTCCTGCTGCTAGATGTTCCATCACAAAAAGTGGAATTCTCCTCACACTCTCACCATCGCAGACATTAAAACCGCTTAAATTTAAAAGGAAAAACTTGATGCAGAGTTAAACCTTTTTTCTGAAACTCCTGTGGGACTACATCAAGAATACCTTCTACAGTCAGGAGCAGGTACAAGCTCTTTACCCCTTTCACAAAAAAAAAAAAAAACAACACCTCAGTCCACTAAATCCAGAAGCATTCATGCTTTAAGGACTCTAGTCTTCACAAATCAGTTTGGGGCCCTTCCCCTGGACAAACTCAATGTTATTACTGTATTCAGTTATGGTCTCTTTTGTTGTACTAAACATTTCAATGTCTATATCACTTAGTCCTATATAGGATGCTATAGGATGTTTTGGTTTAAGTGAAATTCCATGTCTTGATGTTTTACTGCCCTTCCCCACCACCACCATCCTTACTTACTTCCACAAGTCAACTTACCATGTCTCCAATACATCCCTTTTCTAGGATCTAAAAGAAAAAGCAAATTGTATTTCTAAATGCTTGACTGTGATTATGCAACTGTACATTTGAGATTGCTCTCCTGTAACGGTATTTTTATGCTATATATCTACTCATTTATAACTCTACTAGTCCCCACTTTCTTTGTTTTTTTGCTTTACTTAAATGTGAGCTTGACCATATCTTTTACTCTGAATTACTATGTTGTGTAAATGTGAATAAATCTTTCAATATTTCCAGTATGTTTAAAAAAAACTCTAGATCCATGCTAAGAATTAGTGTTTAACTTTCAGCATAGCTACTTCTGAAACTCACAATTGAAAAAAAAAAATTCAAGCAGTCTGGCCGGACATCGTAGATTTGCTCACAATTTGAATTGTATGGTATTCAACTTTAAGAGCACTAGCAGCAAATATATGTTTAAAATATAACACCTGGGCAAGCAAATAATTTGCCATAGATCACATCCAGGCAGAGACATTAGATGCTAAGACTCTGCAGCACTTAGTATGATGGAAGACCAAGTTCAAACATTATGGTTCTCCCTGACAGCAACTGAATGTCTGTTCTTAACCAGCAATAGCATTTTAGATTGTTAAACATTAAGCCGCTATTAACTGATTTTGTTTTACCATTTTCCTGATGGTTATCTAATGCATTTGTGCATACATATGGGCCATCCTCCTAATAAAGAATGTACACTTCAACCTGACAAGTTAGTGTCGCCCAACGTTCATAAGGGTTTACAAAAAATAGCAAAGGCATTTCCTAGGGCAAATGCTGGCAGACACCCTACATTTATCTTATCTCCGTTGATGACTTTCCTTTTATCTTGAATTGATTTGACAATGACTCTATGATTTCCTGTACAAATTACCCTTTGAAAGTGGCAGAGCCGCTTGGCAGCGATCTTCATTTAATTACTGAGTGGATTATTAGCATACAGCTTTTTTTCCACTCATTTCTTTATATCTTCTAGATTGCGCTGACATTTTCTTTTCATTGTATGCTGTAACTTACTGAATAGTAAATTTTATGCAGATTGGAGATGAGAAGAAGCCGTCTGCCCCCCCCCCCCCCCCAAAAAAAACCTTCCGTCTCTTTACCTAACGATCCCTTCTCGACCCTCCCTCATTTAGTTAGTCTACACTGAACATCTTGATGGAGAGTAAATTACAGACTGAAAATCAATGGTTTGTCTGAGAGGGGTGACTGTAGGTTTTTATCTTTTTTTTTCCTTTGTTAAAAAAAAGGAAAAAATGTAAAACAGTTTCTTAATGTATCAGTTTTGCTCTTAACATTCGTGGCCAATTGCATCATAGTAATATTTGACATTTTCAACAAAAAAATTCCATTGAAATCCAAAAGGCTAAACTAAAAATAGTCACCAAAAACATTCACTTCTGAGAGCAATTTATTCTCAAATATTAAATTCACACAATACCAGGCCTGTAAGCTTATTTCTTGATAACTGTTCTCTGTGAACCCAGAATGATAAACTTCAATTTTAGCAAAGCTTCCCTGCTATAATTTAATATGCCACCTTTATCATAGGTTGTAATGTACTATTATGTCAATAAAATGACAAGTATTATTCTCTTACAGATAAATCTGATATGCAGTGTTGAAAAGGAGAGAAACGCTTGTTGTATGCTAATTGATATGCATTGACTGTCAGTGAAAGATACTGTTTAAAAAGCATGTAGAAAAAAATGAGAATATGCAGTCAGAGGATATTGTTATGTTTGAGATGTGTTATCTGATCGTTGGCAGGTTATGATGATAGGTCATTTTTATGTCCATTTTTTTTTAATTTTCAGGTCTACTTTCTTATTACTATGTTTTTACACATTACATTTTATTGTTTGACAACATCTTTATAGCATACTAGTAATATTTTTTTTAATAAATATATTATAAAGAAATCAAAAAGATTGTTCTGCATTCTTTTTTTTATTTGACTAGTTATTATTAAAGGACAAAGACTGGTTTAAATTACACATTTTACCAGAACAAGCAGGCTTTCAAGCAATACATTAATCTATATTTTAACTAATTAATCTTCACAAAAGATACAATAATGGAAACAAAAAATAATTTGGAATTATTATTTAGGGGGCAAGTTTAATTTCTGCCATTTAAAATGTATCTTTTTTATCAGGTTAGTCTAGACAATAAATTTCTTTGTACCATCATTTACAAAAAGGCAATGAATGTGAATAAAATGTGGTTTATATTAGTTCTAAACATGCTTGGTCATTTTTGATTAATTAAAATGTATCTTAGCAGTTTGCATTTTAGCCCAGTTACTGTATATGGAGCTATATTTTTTTTAGATTTAATAGTCTTTTCCTATTTGATAATCATATATAATGAATTACTGTATATACATGATATATACAGAATTGTTATTATTTTTGAATGTACAGATTTGTCTAATAAAACATTTTTACATAGAAAATTTAATGGCTTCAAAATAAATAAATATGCAGGGCTGTAAGTTGTAGTATACCATAGATAGGGTTTTTTTTTTTTTAAATATAGATAGGTGGTGATGAGAGAGAGAGAGAGAGAGAGAGAGAGAGAGAGAGAGAGAGAGAGAGAGATCATATTTTAACTCACAAATATCTTGTTCAAGTACGACCATGATGTAATATCTAACTCCTTCCCTTGCCTGTGCAATCATTTGCAATGCATGAAAAAATACATGATAGATGACCATTATTTTATGTTGATTTTCCTTATTAAAATAATTTGCGATTTAAATTTCAATTTGATAAAAATAAAAATAAAGATGAAAAACAGATATTGATCTTAACTTTGTGCCCTTCTAGATTCACTTGAAATTCAATATATATAAAGAAGTGCAAAATAACCAGTTTGAACTTAAAATGCCCATCAGTAGCTTTTGTTGCTTTTCATCTCTACATGTAATATATATATATACATATATATACACATATATCAGAAATATGAGTTTCATATTTTTTATGTAGACTGTCACCTTAGTCTTATTTAGTCCTATTGACTGTATTATCCAAGGTCTTTTTTTATGGGTTAGCTGCCTGATGTAGCAAGATGACTACACATACTCATCATATATATCATATTATCATGTCTTTTTCAGGTTTCAGCTGATTCCATTTAGAATAGAACTTTTTTTTTCTACTCTGTCCTACACCAGGTGTTGATTTGTTTTATAGCACTAATCATCATTTCGATAGTGAAGAGCTGGTCTTCAAATTCTTTTACTCTTTACTGCCCATGTCTTAACTGAATGTCAGCTAGTGTCATTCAATTCCTTCCTGTGAGCCCAGGTTGTCATGGGGTGTGTCATTGGGTCTGGGTTTATCGTATCACTGCACTAAATGGTGGTCATACATCATTAAAGAGGAACTCCAGTTGTTTGTAGAAAAAATAAAAGTCAGCAGCTACAAATACTATAGTTGATGACTTTTAATAAACAGGTACTCATCTGCCCAGGGAACCAGCAGAGTCATCACCCGAGCAGGTTCTTCACCAGTCTTCTTGTGCCCAGTGATGCCACCTTGAGTGTGGAAAGCCAGCTATGACTTCCTGCTGGCTCACAGTTGGCTCCCCACTGCGCATGCGATTTCTGTTTTCATGTGGCCCTGCAGTCTCCTGAGACCTGTGATGTTTTTTAGGGGGTTGTGTGCAGGGAGAGGGGCCAAACTTCTGCTCAGCGCAGAAGTGGGAGTGGGTATCTAACAGAAAAAAAAATTGGTTACATTATAGGCAGAGAAGGAGGAGGAGGATAAGCAGAACTTACAATTTTAAGTGAAATTCTGCTTTAAAGGCATGATTTAATGGACAATCTGGTAGTTGTCAAGGTCAGGGTTCAGGATCAGAGACCAGTAGCTAAAGCAGTAGAGAGGCTTCCACCAGTCAGCTGGATGTGGAGTACACAAGCAGGTCACGCTGGCAAATTACATGGACCCAAGGTTTGGGGTCTAAGCACACCAGAGCACCTGATGGTGGAGATGGGTTTTCCTGCATGCTAATGTGAGGTCATGGCCCTCAAGATCACCTCACCAGGAGGTGAGCAAGTCGGGGTCCAATAGCAGATATAGCTGGTAGGGATCAAACAGAAGTGTAGTCAGTAAAAGAGCCAAAGGTTGGTAACAAATGGTTGCAGGTTGGAATCAAGCTGAAGCATAGTTGAGGAACAAGCCAGTAAGTCAGTAACGAATGGTTGCAGGTTGGGATCGAGTGGAAGCATAGGTTTCTAATGAGTGGTAGTAAAGATACGGACCTTACCATGAGAGATAAGAGAAAAAATTTGCCTGGAGAAGAGCACAATAATCTGGCAAACAGGAAGTGCAAAGGCATGGCTTAAAGAGGAACTTCACTCTCTCAACCAACATGGATTTTTTAAAATCTTTATTCTGCTAGCATTATTAAATAGATAGAAACGTATATCATATTTGCTTGTTGAAAACTTTTTTTTGCATTCTTTCATTTA